CAGGAAGATGTCCAGTTAAGTCTTGAATGTCTCCATGGAAGGAGACTCCACAGCCTCTCTGGGCAGACTGTTCCAGTGCTTTGTGACTCTCGCAGTAAAGATGTTCTTCCTCATGTTCGTATGAAACTTGCCCTGTTCCAGTTTGTGCCCACTGCCCCTTGTTCTACTCCTGCTCTCCACTGAAGAGTCTGGCCCCAATATTTATGACCAATATGGCAAAAGACTTCAGACTTTCACCATCCACTCCTGCCTTTCTGAGGAAGGGTATGTAAACTGAGAGGAAATGGGACACCGGTTCATTGTCACCTTTCATATTCAGAAGATGATGTGGTGATAAAATCAAAACTATTCTTTTTTCTTCAGCTGGAGCAAACTGTGTGAAGGAGAATTTGCTATCCATATGATACAAGGCACTACATAGATACCACATGCCTGACCTGCTCTAAAACCATCTGTCATCAGCTCCAGGCAGCACCCATTCATCTTGGTGGAGCAGCCCTGACAGTTGGTTTAGTGGCCTGTTTATATTCACAAGCCTACCAGTGCTGCAGCTGGCTTAACTAGCTTGTTAATATTGTTTACTGTACTTTGCTATTTAACTGGGATAATGATAAGCAATCTCAAATTTAGTGGCTTTCCAAAGCCTTTCATGGAAGAGTGGCATTGGCATGGAAGTACTGAATCAAGGCTGATTCAGCTGACAGCTCTGTCCTTCACTCTTACCTTTATCATTGTGTTTCTTCCTCTGGAATACAGAGCAGCCTTTGAATTCTTCAGCTTAGGTGGCTGCATTACATGACCTTATTACATTTAAGGACACTTATTAATTTAATTTCTACAAAGTGCATGTATTTGGATTCCCTTCTCTTCTGGCAAGCATCAGGATGGGAAAGTATCCTCCCAGGGCCCATTGCAACAACCTTTCTGCCCTCCTCTCCTTTCCCTGACGCTAAGCATTTCACCCACCAAATGCAGCCTGCCATGAAAGCCATCACTCTAAGAATCAGCTGGTGGGAGGGCAATGTGCAGCCACACTGTTAATCCCTGGCACTGAGGAACAAAAGGGAAGGAGGAAACCCAAAGACCTTCTTCATACTGTGTACACATGGCCATAAAAGATGTTGCTATCCGGGAGCACCATGACTGTTTGCCTTCCCCTTGCCTTTTCCTGTAATACTCTCTCTATGGGCAATATTTGCCTCCCTCCTTAGTTGCCATGCTACTGTCCTTTCCTTTTTAATCTCGATTAAAGAGTCAGCTCTTCTGTGATTTCCTCAGGAAATGGGAAAAACTTACTAAATTCGTGAGTTTTCTGCCCACCCCCTTTCCCTTCAGTATTCTGCACGTCTGCCTATTAGATTATAAGTGATTTGTAAAGGGGTTTAGCTTTAGTAGGAATCTTGTACATTGTCAGCTGCATTGTCATCAGTAAATGCACACTTTACCCAGGCTTCTCGCTTTCTTCTTTTTCCTTTTAAAAATGAAAAATCCCTTGAAGCTGTAAAATAAAACTACAAATGCACAAAGGTTTAACTGTGGTGCTTTAAACAGGTACTTTATCCACAGCACTGTTTGAACTGTGAATACTAGCATTTGTGACAATCTAACAGTGATGCTTTGTCTGGTGGTAAAAGTCTAATTGCTCTCCATGATGGCAAATAAATCCAGATAGGCTTTCAAGTTAAAATTCGGATTTTGAGCTAGCAGTGTTGTACACTGCAAAGCATTCTCTCCACAATACAAGCTTGTATGTGCATCCATTCCTTTGTGAAATAATTTTATTTCACGGACAAAACAATGCATTACCCTTTTTAATTGATATGTATTTATTTGTCTTCTGTAACTAGAGCAATTGTTGATAGAATACTGTGTGTTGCAATATAGAGAGCAGATACTGTACACTAGGGTATCGCTCTGAGAAGTTGGTGTGACCAGAGAGGAGAAGCCTGTTTTATCACCAGGACATGTTGGAAAATGTGTTCTAATTCAGATTTCCCATGTGAATAGGAAAAAGTCCCTTGTTTATCAAGTATCTTCAGGCAGTTCAGTAAGATACAGGTCAAGTTCCCAAGAAGTCTGGAAATTTGGACGTTGGGCTCTCCTTGCTTAAGTTCTCCACGTGAAAATTTGCTTTGTCCAGATTGAATTTGATTCCTGACTGTCAATGTTTCACAGTGAAAATCAGATCCTGCACTGAGGTTGTTCTTTGTTTCAAAGAATCCCCAGATGTTGCTGTTTTATCGTCATTTTGAAGTTATGCGTGGTGGCAGAGCAGTTGGCAAGATTGCATTTAGACAGTGCAGGTACTTCTTCATAGAACCATAGGATGGCCTGGGTAGAAAAGGACCACAGTGCTCATCCACTTCCAACCCCCTGCTGTGTGCAGGGTCGCCAACCAGCAGCCCAGGCTGCCCAGAGCCACATCCAGCCTGGTCTTGAATGCCTGCAGGGATGGGGCATCCACAGCCTCCTTGGGCAACCTGTTCCAGTGCCTCACCACCCTGTGTGTGAAAAACTTCCTCCTAATATCTAATCTGAATCTCCCATCTCAGTTTAAAACCATTCCCCCTTGTCCTATTGCTATCCACCCTTGTGAACATCCCTTCCCCCTCCTGTTTATATGCTCCCTTTAAGTATTGCAAGGCACAATGAGGTCTCCCTGGAGCCTTCTCTTCTCCAAGCTAAAAGTTTGAAGCTGAACAGGTGGGAGGAATCATCTAACTGCTAGGCTGAGTTCAGGCACTGGCTGGTACAAGGCTAAAGCAGAGAGTTGGTGATCTGCAGACATTATGTCATCTTCAAGGAAGATGAGAGCAGTGATGATCCGGCTTTGGGCCTTACCCAGAATTTGTGAAGAGCTGACCCAAGATTCAGCCTGCTGTAAATGTCCGCATGAAGAAATTTGGTTTTGTTATAGAGCAGATGGATTTGACCCACACACCCTGACATCATTTTTAAGCAAATGCATAAGCTCGCCTATTGAAGGAAGGTAACATGTCCTGTTTGCTGAGGTGCAGGCAGTGCTAAAGGGTTGACATGTAAAGAGCTTGCCCTGCTAATGGATCAGGATTTTTATAGACAGAAGGGATATGCCGTAGTCGGAGTGGTAAATCTGTAATGACAGACATTCGTTCTATATTTGTGAATGACCTGATTTGGCATGCATGTAGTTCATTCTCTTGACAATAATGGAAACATGTGTGAGACGAGCAGAGAAATAAAGCTGTGGTTAAAGCAAAGTTATAAATTTAAAAACGTTTTGGTATGAAGTATTTCGAAGTATTTTCCCCACCTTGATTTGTTGCCCTGTTTAAGAAGAAAAAAAAAAAAAAAAAGCCTCTGTTTGAACAGTCTTTGAAAAATTGAAAACTCTTTCAGCTCTCCTCTTTTCTCCTCCTCCCTCACCTCCTTTCTAAGCTCTAGAGATGAGTGCAAGACATCTGTCAAAGCTGTGGTAATGAATTTATCCTGATTTGTGAGGACCCCAGGAGTCTGTCAGAGCGTCCCTGGCTGCTGCTGCTGCCCCATGGCTGTGCAATTGCTGTCCCTGGGAAGCGGAGGATGGGCACCATCATGGGACAGACCACACTGTCCTGGTGTGAATTCGTCCCTGACCTGAAGAGATGGGGGGGGGGGGGAGAGATGCAGTTTGGAGGGCAAGGCACTGGAAACCTCAGAAAATATCATCATAGTGCCCTCTTAGAAGAGCCTTTCTTGCTTTCTACCCCACATTCTCCCCCTTTTCTCTCTCCCTCCTCCGTCAGGAAAAATTCTTGAACTCCTCTGGCTTGGTACCAACTATTCCTTTGGCTTTGCAGTCAGAAAAGCTCACTGGGGATGGAGAAATTGCCGTACACAATGGTTTTGAGAACTAATAACACATGCATGCAGTCCAGCCTTGAATTATGTGAAATATGGTGCATAGCTTTCAATCCTGTTCTGTCAGAGGCCTTGACTGCTTAAAAGCCTTCCAGTGCCTCTCCCCCCTCTCCCACCCTCTAAAATAAAATAAATCCCACATGCTTTCTCTCAACTTCCAGCATGTGTGACCGTAATCGTGCCTCAACTGCTGGCAGCACGCCTGGCCTGTCAGCCTCACCCGGGGACAGAGAAGGAGTGGTGAAGGATGCCTGCCGGACAGCAGGGCTGGGAGGGCATGCAGGACCTGTGGGAGCCACAGGGGCCATGGCACCAGGGCGCTGTGGAGGAACAGGAAGGCAGAATGCTGCTACTTGCCAAGTGGGGACAGGGCTTGAGAATCAGCCTTGCTGGCTGCTCTGTCGTTGCAGAGTTGCATGGGACCAGCGGCTATTGCTGCGGGCAACAGTGAAATCAAGGGGCACCTACAAGTGGGCTAATTATGTTGGTGTGTTGTACTCCTGCAGCTTGTGATTCTTTTGTACTCCATCAGCAAATGAAGGCACTTCCTGTGCTCATCACATTTCTGAACAAGGACAGGTGGGACACTGGTATTGCTAGAGAGAGAGAGCCCTGCTCAGTACTTGGCTCTTTTTGCATGGTCTCTAGCATGGCTGTTTACATTTGTTCAATGGTAGTGTGGCTTGCACAAATCTCAAGACAAGATAACTTCTGGAAGTTGTGTGGTGTCTAGTGGAATGATTATCAATCCTGATTATGACCTTTAGCAAGAAAAGTGATAGAAAAATCAATCTAATGCTGGAAGAACTTTTACCACTGAAAGACAACTCGTGAAACTTAATTGCTTGAAACAGTTTAAACTTGAAGTAAGCACAATTCTGGAAAAATCTATCAGGCAGGCATATACCCACTGGGGTAACATCTTCCTCTAGTCTTTCAGATACTCAATTTCAGTGAATAAGGCTTATGAGAGGTTTATTATTTCAGCAGTGACATAATTAGCCACCATTATAATTAAGCTTCCATACCCGCACCATGTCTTCTTCGAATGGATGTTACTGAGCTGCTACCTGCATGCCCTTTTGTATCATCATCTATGTTGGGCGTGTATTTCTTCCCAGGTTGTTCTCAAGAGAAGAAAGAGGAAGGAGGATGAGATGTAGCCGTGGTTGGAAGAGAGCAAGGGAGAGAGGATTGAACATCCAGAGCAAGTTCATTGGACATACCAGAAGAAGAAGAGCAGAGGAGCTGCACTGGGACCTCCAGGCTCTCATCCTCACATTCAAAACTTCTGTCTAAACAAGGCTTGGTGGCTTTTCCATGTTCCTGCTAACAGGATGAGCACTTAGATCCACAGTGTTGTATAATTACTGGTGTACTTTTCCGCTATCTTCACTGTTTGTATTCTCACTATACTATGATTGCTGTAGCTTTTGGGTGTAGAAAAATACACCTTTATGCTAGACATTTAAAAAAACAATGGCCCATAGAGCTTAGATCCCATGGAGATACCTATTTCCTCACAAGGATGGGCAAGCAGAGGAAGATCTTGCTCACGGGAAGTGTGCAGTCTCCATATTTGTAGGCTTTCAGACTAGACTGAAAATGCCATGAGCAGCCTGGCCGGGTAGCATAGCTGCCCTTCTTGAGCAAGTGGTAAGACTAGAGGCCTCCTGGGTTCCTTACAGACTGAATTGTCCTATGAACTTGATCTGCTTTTTCCAGTTTTTGTGTTAAAAACAGACTGCTCCCTCTAATCTGTGGGCAGATACCAGCTAAGTTGTTGATGGCATTTTCTCTTGTTCTGGAACTTCTGAAGGATGCTGTTATTGTGGGGATGTAGACAGTCTGGTTTTCTTCTCACCTGCATTTTAGTGACCAGGGCAAGTCAGGTGTAATTGTTCCTATTTGTTTTTAGTATTGTTTGTTAGTAGCCTAGCACTTTTTCCTTAAGGTCAGTTAAGTCAGTTCTCACTGATCAATCACACTTCCAATGGTGGTTGAATACAGCAATGCATGTTTTGTTTTGTGTTTTTCCTCTGCTGATAAGTATGTTTTTGCATAGCCTTTTCTGTTTTTCTTAATGCCCTGGCTTTCCTTCCTCAGAGATGTGTACTTTCTCCTCACCCTTCCTCCTTCTTCCCTTCCCTTCTCTGAATACCTTCAGTGCCAGGATGACAGCTCTAAGGCTGCTGTCATTCCCCTGGGTGTTTCAAACCAAGTACTTTAATCAGAGTATGATGCCATTGTGTGAGCAAAAATTATATTGATGGTGTTTGCGAATATACTATTTTTTAAATGAAAATGTTAAAAATAAATCTTTTAGGGGAATTTTACATATTAATACTCAGTGGTTTGAATGTGTGGTAATACTTTTTGCATTTAGAATGCTTAATTGTGAAAGATTATGTGGATAAAGATCTATAATTAACTGATAAACATTAGAACATTAACTGATAAAGATTTATAAGACTGCTGAGGAAAATTATAAGAGTTTTCCCTCTCCAGTGCACTCTTTTAAGGAGTGATAAAGGAGGAAACATAGGAATATGGCCTTCAGTATGGCTTAAATATAGCTTGCTTTATTGCACCATTGCTGAATTAAGGAAATTGAAGTTGACACACATTTATTTATTTATTTGTTTGTTTGTTTGTTTGTTTGAGAAAGGCAGATAGAGAGAAGTTGATTTCAGTCTAACTGTAATGCTCTGTTTTCTAGGAGACTATTTTGGGCTAAGAACTGCAGTAATAAAGAATCAAAGCGGATGGTATTCCTTCTGTATTTTTCATCCAGAACTGAATAGAAACTATACCTTGCATAATAAAATATCAGATATGTGACAAGAACAACACTGATTTTACAGAGTGGGTAAATGAATTTTCCTACCTTTCTACATTTTTCAAAAGCAGAACTAGAAGTAGATCCAAATCCATCTACTGTTGGGAATGCAGAAGAAATACCTCCCTTGACTTTGCCTCTGGGACTGGTCTATTGATTTCAGAACTTCACTTCTGCTCATCTCAGCCTGGGCCCACCACACCTTGCTGCCAGTCTGCTGGAGAGACTACAGCCTTGTTTGTTGCTATGTTTGCCCTCCGTGGCACGCTGAAATTTCCCTATTATTGTGCCAATGTCAAATCCAGCCTGCTTCTTAAATCCATCTTGTATGCAACTAGTTTCCACAACTGATGTTTTCCTTTTCTGAGCTTTTATTCAATGCTTCACACTATGGCTAAATCAGGTGCCTTGATGTAATGCTCCCGCAGAACAGTACTAAGACTTAATGATCAGCACAGTCCTAATGATGTTGCTCCTTTTGCCTCTTTGCCCTGTTTATGTGCAACATAGAACCTATTTATGATCATTTCTGCCAGCTGAAAGATATAGTGATTATTAGTAATGTATAGGATGTTTACTAGGTTTTTCTTAACAGCTGTGTCTTTTGCTATGATGGGGTGCTTTTGAGTCAAGACTTTTGCATTCATTTAGGTGAGTTCGTTGTCTTTCATTTGCTATATCTCAAAAATAAATTTGCACCTCAGTACTTCCAAATACAGACCTGTCAGCCTTGAATCAACTACACTGCATTTGGAAGGTCAGTGCAAACCCCAGAGGCTTGAGCATTTTCTCAGGAGAGAGGGCCCCGCAACACTGCTTCTGTGGTTTGTGGGAATTGGGTCTCTGTTGTTAGCAAAGAGCCAGTGTGCTTTTCAGCATGCCAGGAGGTATTGTTGACAGTTCTTTATTCTCCCAGTAGGTGAGATCAAGCACCAGGTAGGTACAGCTCTCAATGGGCCAACAGCTATCATCATCCTCACTAGTTCCCTACTCAGGAGATCAGGCTGTCTGCCTGCATTGCAGCAGGGCCACGAGTTGGTGGATATCAGACCTCCTCAAAAGCATCTCTGGTGACTTCACTTCTGTGATGCTGGTCTTTCTGATCGTCTGCAAGGATAGGAGCCTTTCCTACACAAACAGAATGAATAGAGGTAAGATTATCCTGTGACTGTATCAGAACTAGTCATTACTGGAGTCCCAGTGTACATGAACATACAATTTGGATACTTGTACCCCAGAATTTTGGCTCTCTTTATGTGAAGAACTCAATCTCCTTTCAGTTGTTTCCTCTCCCTCCTTCCCCCCCCAATATAATAAAAAACTTCCTTGACATGAAACATTGTGGCATGAAAGATTTCATCTGATTTCACCTAGAAACAATTTTTAAAAAATTTTTAGTAACTGGATGATGATCTTTCTTCGGAAATCATGTCCAAGGCTGACAGCTTTGTTGTCTTTGATCTCCCTACCAATGCTTTGACACTGAGACCTATTTGAGGACGCTCAACTTTAGCTTCCCCTGACTCCACAGGCTCAAGTCACTTCAGCTGGAGAAATGGCTTTAGGAGATGTTGGTTCAAAAAAGAGAAAAGATCAGTCATACTGCTCTGCTAATTACATTGGCCATATTAATGGCACAGACTGCTCATTTTCAGGCACTGTTGGAAAGATTACCCAGAGAGACGTTATTCTCTCGGTACAGTGTCAGATGTCACCCTGTAGGATATTAAAACCAAGTCAAGATTGTGTTGAAAAATATTGTTTTTGTCTGTCCAGTAACACATGCGACACTAGATTGCAGTAAAAAGAAATTTCTTCTTTGCTGAAGAAATGTTAATGTGGGCTGCCAAATGGGAGAGATTTTCCATAGTTCACTGTTAGTGTAAGACCTCAGCTCTCACGGATTATGCTGTCTTCTAATGAACAATTCCTTAATGAGAGCAGAGAATCGGAGTTTCACATTTGATGAATGACAATAAAGTTGGGAAAGTGTTGTTTCTGTATTTCTTTCTTTTTCTTTTAGCACACACACTAATTGGCCTTAAATAAAACAGAGCAGAACAATAGATTTATGATATTTTTGTGCAGAAAAACCAGATTTCAGGCATTCAGGGAAACAAGCTCCCCTTTTATGAGGTAATTATGATTTAGTGTTTACTGTCTCCCTGTTGAGTCTGGGTTGCTTTTAAAGTGGCTCTGGGATGAAAGTCAAAAATGGAATTTACAGTCAAACCTTTTCAACATGTAAAGTGCAGGAGACATACATTATTTTTCTAAGTAGTATTTCCTCTGTGCCTCTACCTTGCTGAGAAGAACACTTATAAATTGTCCCATATGGACAGGTTGCTGAATCATCAGAAAATAGTTATTTTGAAAGAGTTTGGAAAGTCCTCTAAGAATTCAGATATTTCTTCTAATAGCAGTCATCTTTCAAAGTCCACTTCCATCTTCCGCTTAGAAGTCAAACTTTAGTTGATTTATAAGGATCAGAATCAAGTAGAGAAGATGACCTCTCACACAGGCTCGCCATTAGGTTTATTTCTTGTTTAGCTTGGGGAGAAGTCTTGGTTTGGAAGAAGGTTCCATTCAGGGTTAGTTTGGGGGCATTCTGGGAAATGAAGCAGTAACACTTCTGCTCTTTATCTATTAACTTACCCTGCACATTCAGCAATCTGTCCTAACAGCACACAGCAGATATGTGCTCAGCAAACCCAGCATATCACTCACATCCCTGCAGCTCCTGAAGAAAAAAAAATGTCTCCAAAAAATGTCTCCAAATTGCTGATTTCACACCTGTGCAATTTACTTTCTAATCCTTTTTCCCTTCCTACCCTGCTACCAAATTTGCAAGCAGTAGGTAGAATTTAGGAGTCATCCAGGAGAAAAGACAATCAACAAAATGCTAAGAATTGCAAGAGCATGGGACTGCATACCAAGTTACTTTGGCAGCAGTGCAAGACAGGTTGTGGGTGAAATACAAATTTGTCAGGGCTACTGGTGTTCAAATCATGTGCTTGTGCAGCCTAAGAGATTTCTTTTGCTTTGCAGTCTTTCAGCACACAACTTCTCTAAAAGACCAGCAGCACAAAAAAAGAGTGCTTCAGCCCCAACAGAAAATATCAATTAAAAGTACAAGAAAATGACTATCCTTAGAAAAAAAGATGGAAATGCAGTCAACATTGTCAAATGGTGAATTTGCATCAGCTCTTGGTTGTGTCAAAGTGGAGGAATCTTGTGTAAGATCAAGAAACAGAAATGCAGACTCATTAAAAACAATGCAAAACACAAGTGGTTTATCTGTGAAGATAACTGGTCCAAAAAGTTTTGAAGGCTAGACATTCACCAGCTTTCAAATAAAAGGGTGATTCCCCAGAAACTGATTAGCAGTGAGCTTTAGTCATGAACAGTACTGTTGTGCAAGTAAGCTGGCATTTCAGTTTCGCTGATCCTTACTAACGCTCTTATTTATCTGCCTATCTCCTCTGGCTGATCTGCACCCAAATGTTCAAGCTGCTTTTTCTCCACCACCACCTCAGTTACGCAACCAAGAGCCCAAGGATTGATTGCTAATTCTCAAATGTTTTATTTATGACAAACATTGATGCAATTAGTTGGCTTGATGGGCAAAGCAAATAAGTTGCAGGTTGAGTGACTTTTGGAAGAGTTTCAACATCCGACATGCCTTGGAAAACGTTCTTGCTGCGTAGGACTTGATAAGTATCAAGGCAATTATTGGTGTTTGGAAAGCAGTATGGAAGGGGTGCAATCACAGCTCTTAGGAGTTTGGGGAAAAAGATGATGTAAGCCTTGGGTTTGGCAAAATAGAAGAGACAGGTATTCGAGAGATTTACATGCAGCTGAATGCACTGAAGGAGGGCCGAGAGAGGAGAGGCAATAAAAACATGGAATGACAGTTAACAGAAGTCTATCTTAATTGTTAGAGAAGGCTATAGCTAATTCCTTTTATGTTAGAAACAGGCCTGAACATGAACTGAAGCTTGAAAACAAATATTACTAAGATTGTTTCAGTTCATCAAGAAATGTATAAACAAAAAAAGCAAATGAAGTCATTAATTCTTGTGGATTTCTTAAGAGCCCACTGGTCTCTGTTGTTGTCTTTCCTGCTTCCGTGGAATTCAGTCCATTGCACCTGAATCTCCTTTGCCTCTCTATTTCTTTACCATCTGTGCCTGAAGATGACCTCAATGATCTTTTATTGCCAACCTACCCCACTTTCATTATTTACAATGTTCGGTTTTTTTTTTTTTCCCATCTGTCTGCAACACGTGCATACTCTAAATAAAAATAAATTACATTTATTTTTATGTAATTTCATCCTCTTATAATTAACCTTTGTCTTCATGCTTTCTTATATTTCAGTACATCCCTATGACTATAAGCATGTTTTGGGATACCAGAGCATTTGGTGAAAGGGGTTGAAGCATATTCCCATTTTTTTTCTGTTGAAGAAAGTTTGCCAATGCTGACTTTGCTACAATGGACTTCTCTTCCAAAGGCATGTATTGGTATTGGAGGGGGAACGCTGTCTGCTCATCACAGCCTTACTGAGTACAATCCACTTTTACCCAGTGCCCTCTTCCTGGTAAACTGCAGTTATTTAAAATTCCTGGAAAAGTTAACAATATGGAAGGAAAAAAAATCCCTTGTGGCTGTCCCATTTCACTGCCTGTTTGGACAGGGGTAGAGATAACTGAGAGCTACAGTAATTGCTTTTGAAATTATTGTTGTTCCTATTATTTTATCTAAATTCTTCAGAATCTGAACGTTTTATGTAGTTTTAGCTATTCTGTATAAAATAATGCTTGATGTGAGTATGTAGTGCATCACTCCATTATTTTTGTATAGATCAGAGATGCCTACTCTTAGATACTGCTGCTTTATGCACTAACATAATCTAGGTGTATTTGTGGCCACTAAAGAGACCAAGTAAAATTCTGGAAACAGAGTGGTTCATTTGTAAACAAAAAGCAAAGTTGTATTGCAGTAAGCTAGTCATGCAGATGCTGTAAACTGTTTCCTTTCTATAGCAGAGCTCTGGAAAATCAGCGTGACATTCGTAGATACCTCTATGCACATTCGTGAGTTGTAGTGAATGTAGCAGCAGATCAAGGGCCAGCACTAAACTTCATCTGTGGTACACAGGAGTTGTGTTGTGGAAAAAAATAACTCAATTTGAGGAGGATCTTTGGGTTTAAATAAAGGTAGCACATTAAGTTGGAGAGATGAACATCTCCATCATGTGAATAGTGAGAGAGGTGACAGTCCCAGCTACAGAACACAATGAAGAACATGTGGTAGAGTCATAAGAAGTCACAAACCAAAATGCAGGGAGTCAGAGGAGAGCTTTCAAAAAAGGATAGAATGCTCTGAGAAGCAGGTGGTGGCTCTGATAGGGCTAAAAACACATTTTGTTTCATGCATGAGTATCATTTTAGAAGAACCTCTGATTATAATTGTGGTACCTGAGTCTGAATAAATGAAACATCCAAAGAAAATACATCAATCTTAAAAACTGCAATACTGATTTAAAAAAAAAAAAAAAAAAAAAAAAAAAAAAAAGCAGGATCTTTTTTAGAAACACTGAGAACAAATATCAGAATGGCTTCATGAAGCTCTGCATTAAGGTGATGCATTTTGTGAAAGTGTACTGAGAACAGAGAGAAGGGATGAAGTAAGTGTCCCTAGATAACATGGGCCAAACAATGTCATTCCTAAGAAAATAAATGTTATTGGATTTCCAGTAATGCTCTTGGAACACAAGACAAGACCTTGACAATAATTACTTCTGATAATTTTATTCCCAAAGCGAGTAGGGAATGAAAAAAAGAAGTGGTGTGGGGGGGTGAGGACACTCTTGTGTCTGCATGTGTTCATGGAGAGACTGAAGAAACCTTTCCATCCCAAAAACCTCCCAAGTGACACCCAGCATAAGCTGCACATCCTGCCTCCGTGGTTAAGAACCGGAATGAATGCAAAGGGGTTCTGCGAGGAAGAAAACAGCTTTTCCTGGCCTTCCAGGACTACCTGAATGTGAGAAGTGGATTTGAGGAAAAGTAATGTCTCTTGACATCCTGTTGGGTTGCTTTTGGGAATAAGAGTTGCTGAGCACGTCTGGGGAGAAGGCAGGAGCCTGAAGACTATTTCTGTGCAAACCCGAATCCCAATCGTCCTTGTCCTTCTTAAAAAGGAGTTTAGAGGATGAAAGAACACAGGATCACATGAAAAAAGCAAAATAGGAAAGATGATCCATCACCCTTAGCAGATGATTGCCACATAGGACTCAGAATTAGAGCCCAGACTGGCAAGCTTGTGCTGAAGTAGGATGTGTTTATATCGCTTGGTATAAAAATGAGCAGAGCCTTAAGCATCAGGCTGTATTTCCTTACGGGAAGGGTTTGTGCATCAGTTCCACCAAAACAAATAGGTAAATGATGTTCCCTCTGATCGGGTGACAGGAGTTGAGTAGAGATACACTCGGGCTCCCTTCAAGACAATTGAGCCTTCTGGAGCACTCTGCCAGGCAGAGCGTAACTGAGGAGACTGTCCCAGTTTCTCTCCGCTATTTTTAAAGACAATTTGCTATGGAAGTTCTCAAAATCTTTTTGGTGTCTGACTCCAGGACCGTATGAAATCTCTTCAGTTATTCATTTATTTATTATTTTCCCATCAGAAATAATTAACTTCACAGCCTTCGCAAGCCTCCGTGCATGTGTGCACGCACGTCGTTCTTCCTCGTATGCCAACCTCCCTGATACATAGATAATTTATGAAAACAGAGTAGAAGCTTTTCAATAATTAAGTAATAGATAATAGGAGGGGACTTTTCCCAACAACGTACGGCAGCTTTGAAGCAGAGCACAGCCCCGAAAGGTTAGCGGCTGATAAATTACGTTTAGAAAAAGAAAACCCAAAGAAATCTGCTTCCCCTCGCACCGTATCATTAAGTAA